AATTCTGACACTTGGGGGGTTATTTACAAAAGGATGAAGAGTTTGGAGAAGTTAACGATCTAGGACAACATAGCTGATTTGGAAACATTCTCCAATCCAGCTCACTATCCAGTTCAGCTATGTTGTTCCTTTCTCCTGCCTTCTCCAAACTTATCACCCTTTTGTGAATAACCCTGTTGGTCACAGGACCTCTGCTGAAGGGCAGGGTCAGCCAATCTGGACTCTCAACCTTCAGCAGACGTCATATGATTAAGGTCTACACACATTTGGCCCATAAGGATGAGCAGGTGATTTTGGCAAACTTGATTTTGCTGCAAAAACAGCGATTTTTGCATTCGACAAAAAGTTAGCCTCTGATTTCACCATGCAGCGTGGCTGGGTGGAAATAACTTTAAAGAAAAGTTATTTTTTTCTTTACTGCGTGACATGGCTTTGTTTATAAACAAAGGGTTTAGAATAGTGTCAGGGTTAGCATTAGATTTAGGGTTATCAAGGTTCGGTTAGTGTTATATTTATGGCTAGGATTAGGGTTAGCATTATGGGTTATCGGGATAAGGTTAATGTTAGATTTAGCTTTAAAGTTAGAGTTATCAGGGTTAGGTTAGTGGTAGATTTAGATTTAGCATTAGGGCTGTCAAGGTTTAGTTAGTGTTAGATTTAGGTTTAGCCTTGAGGTTAGTGTTATCAGGGTTCAGTTAGTGTTACATTCAGGTTAGCATTCAGGCTATTAGGGTTAGGTTAGTGTTAGATCTAGGTTTAGCGTTTAGGTTAGCATTAGGGTTATCAAGGTTCAGTTAGTGTTATGTTTAGGGCTAGGATTAAGGTTAGCATTAGGGTTATCAGGGTAAGGTTAATGTTAGATTTAACTTTAAAGTTAGAGCTAGGGTTATCAAGGTTCAGTTAGTGTTAGATTTAGGTTTAGCCTTGAGGTTAGTGTTAGGGTTGTCAGGGTTCAGTTAGTGTTAGAGTCAGGTTAGCATTAGGGTTATCAAGGTTTGGTTAGTGGTATATTTAAGGCTAGGATTAGGATTAGCATTAGGGTTTAGACATGTGCGATTCGTTTCGAATCGAAATTTGGACGAAATTTTGGAGATTCGGATGTATTCGAATTCCGAATGACAGATATAACGAATGCAAACAAATTCGATTCCGAATTTCCGAATCATTTTTTTGGACGAACTTTCGTTTTTTGGAGGAAATTTTGTTGCAGCAAAGTGACATTTCAGAGTAAACAAAAAAACTTTTTTTTACTCTTAAATGTCACTTTGCTGCAACGAACGAACGAAATGAACACGAAACGAAACCGGATTACTGCTAACGAATTTCGTCCGAATCTGAAACGAATTGACTTTCGGACCCGAATTCCAAAAAACAAAATCAAGCAAAGTCCAAATCAAAACTAAACTAAACAATTGTTTTGCTGGTGCACATGTCTGTTAGGGTTATCAGGGTGAGGTTAATGTTAGATTTAGCTTTAAAGTAAGTGTTAGAATGATCAGGGTTAGGTTAGTGGTAGATTTAGGTTTAGCATTAGGGTTGTCAAGGTTCAGTTAGTGTTAGATTTAGCTTTAGCCTTGATTGTTAGCATTAGGGTTAGGATAGTGTTAGATTCAGGTTACGTTTCAAGATTAGCGTTAGGGTTATCAGGGTTAGGTCAGTGTTAGATTCGAGTTTAGCATTAAAGTAAGCATTAGGGTTATCAAGGTTCGGTTAGTGTTAGACATAGGTTTACTTATGGGGTTAGCATTGGGGTTAAGGTTCATCTCTGTTTGTCAGTATCAAAAGTCCCATTTTCCAGCTAATGAGGGGCAGGTTTTGGAATATGAACAAGTCCACAGTAGCTGCAACCTTTGGTAGCCATTGCACCCTAAGTCAAACTCCAGTCACTGTTTTAATTTTAGCTTTGGATAGAGTGCAAAAGCGCTAGGGTTTGTGTTATTTCTGTCTATAACCTCATTGTGAAGACTTCCCTTTACTTCCTGTCCATGTGATACATGTACAAGAATTAGGAGGGGGGGGACCAAGACATGTAAGCCATAAAAATTGAGGTTCCAACTTCTAACCCTTCACTCCCAAAATAAAATACAAACTTTCAGCTAGAGCTTCAAAGCCCATCTTCAGGCTTTGTGCTCCCCCAGCCCCTTTGGGGCCCCCATCAAGAGTTTGTTATGCTTCTTTTTTAACTTACCTTTAACTAATGTCATCTGCCCGGCCACATGATGCTCTGGGTCCTCTACCTCTTTGGTGTTCTTCCAGAGGTGGGTGATCCTGGATGATGCAGAGAACGGCACTGACATGATGATATCAGTGCTGCTCTCTGCATCAATACACTATGCGTACGGTACAGGGTGCCATGATCATGGGGCGGGGCCATGACTCCCTGCACTCACAGTCTTTCCTTAGCCTTCGGGGTTGAGTGACATGGCCATCATTCAACCTGGAACACTGAGGGCATCTTGTGGTGAAGAAGTGTATTCCGGTGGACTGAAAGTTAGTTGCAGCCAGAGTTGCTTTTTTTGTATGTTTATTTTTAAACCTTAAGGGGGCATTTCAAAAAAATACCCTTGCAGAAAACTTAGATTTTTATGGTATATCATTTAATTTTTAAAAAGAGACATTTCCACAGACTAAAATTTACAGGGACTCTTCCAGTTATAAAATAAGAAGCCCAGAATTCCAAAACGCGGGCACGGTATATCTTACTTTGGCATGAAATATTTTTATCCTGCATTGCTCGGAGAATCGTGACATTGATGTCGCTGAGAGACTTGTGTGTGTAGAAAGATCAGAGTCCTCCACATCTAACGCTCCGTCAGCCCTCTACCCTCTGCAGAACATTGACAGCGTTCTTACCTATTATATGCGCCAATCCTTGACAGATTGTGGCCTCTTCAGTACAAACGGCACAGGAAGAAGGACAGGTCTTCACTAAATAAAGGCAAGTGCTGATCAGGAGGAAGATGACACCTGCAACACACATCAGGTTAGAGATACCTCTGTCACTGAAGCCATTAGTGGAGAAAGTCCTAATGATTGATTAATACTCAGAGGACATTGTCACTTCTCTCCCCTGTAGGAACGAATCTGCCGGCTCATTATTCATGGCTGCGCTTTTGAGAACACGGAACACTAGATCATATACTCTAATATCTGTGTCACCAGCGGAAGGACAACATGACTCTGTCTTATAGAATTATGTTTGCTGCGGCACAACAAAGCAGCGCCATTTTGATTGAGAGCGGGATCGGTGCCATCATTGTTGGGGTAGAAATTAAAGTATTTGTAGACCCACCCACTGAAAGCTCTAACATTGCAACGCCATTTCAAAAGTCATTTTCCATATTTTTAAATGTGCAGTTTTAATTAAAATGATACCTGGTGATCCTGCCATGAATGTCTTTGTTCAGGCACTTCCTGTTATAGCATGACAATGCTCTCTCCCTGTCTGACAGTTGTGCTCATGTGTTGTCACCCTGTCACATGCTCTCCCAGTGGAGGCTACAAGCCACGTGGCAACACACATTAGGTAGACGTGGTCCACTGTTGTCACCATCAGGAAGCCAACTGCCATGCAGCCATCACTGGAGGGCATGTAGACAGGAAGTGATTACACATTGGCTGCAGGGGATCAGCAGCAAAGGGTGAAACTAAAGACAAAAATAAGTATTTTTTTTAGCCCTTTTGTGATTAGAAGTCATTGATACCTAGATGCCCATTTCAGATTTAGCAGCTTTTTGGAAAGTAGAATCTCATGTTTTGAAGGAATTCCTCACCCACAGCTGCACATAAACAGAGGGTCAGGATGCTGTGACATAATTGACCTTATATGGCCACATGACTATATTTGGTCAATGACATTGACCTAATATGGCTATGTGGCCATATATGGTCACTGATGTCAGTACAAGCATCCCACCCCTTTGTTTATGTGCAGCTGTGGGGTGGGGAATTCCCCATGTCATTTTTGGGTTTGGAGGAGTACAGGTTCACACCAGAATTGGACCTAACCTGAACTCATCTCGAGTCCCAAATGTGAACCCTGTCCATCGTTGTGTGTTCCGACTCCTCCGGTTAAATTCTTTATAAAGAAAAATAATATATGAAAAAAAAACAGCACAGGGATGGTGGGAGCCCTTCTTTATGGGCACAACACATGTCCAGACCCAGGAACTCAGCACATATATGGGCACAACAGGTGTCCATACCCAGAAACTCAGCTCATGGATGGTGGGAGTCCTTCGTAATGGGCACAGCAGGTGTGTAGACCCAGAAACTTAGCACAGGAATGGTGATAGCCCCTTAGCATGGGCACAGGGATCTTACCACTCTCTAGGGCCTACCAAAAGCTTAAATATGATTTTGGGGAAACTGGCCCTTTAAAATAGGTGTGCACCTTCATGCCTTCCTGGGTACACATGTTGGCACTATAAAATTGGTGCAGAGTGCATCAGGCAACTTTTTACACTGGTCTCATTCTTCAGCTGGATTGCAGTAAGGTTTCAGTAGCTTCTTGAAGCTTGTTGAAAGCTTGCTATCGGCTTATTTAAAGTGAGAGACAGCTCTCCCATGAAGATCCGTTTTTATCATTCCCATACTGAAGCTGAGTGTTTTAAACCTGAAGCTTAACCTCCATTCACACCTGAGCGATCTGAAAAACGCTTCTAGAAGCGCTTCAATGCTCAAAAAAACAAATTTCCATATCATTCCATTGTGCCCGTTCACATCTCAGTGACGTGCTGTCTCTTTGCGCTCAAAGTCCAAAAAAACGTTTTTCTGTCTAATAGCCGTCTCCTCCTCCTCCTAGTAACTAGCTTTCCATTGGTTAAAATAAAAAAACTCAAGTCTGAAAAGCGCATGTACAAATGCACAAAATATGGCCAAAGAAAAGCTTGCTGTGCGCTAGGCTCTTACACAAGCCGAAGCCCATGTGTACAAAGTCTAAATGAAGCTGTGCAGTGAATGGCAGATTTGTATTCATTGTAGCCTTTTATTTTCTGCAGGGTCGGCCTGATTTCTCGGAGGTCGTATCCAACCTCGAGGAATGTCTCTGTAACATTGAGGTAATTACATTTTTTTGCATTTGTTACACAAGGTGCTAAACTTTGATTATCAAATAAATAAATAGCCCTTTACCTAAGCCATAGCCCTAACCCAGCACTGAAAGATACGTTGAAGATTATTTATGGTTGACCTCCGGGTATGAATTATTTTGCATACTTACATTGGCCCAGCTTGGCCGTATGTAAGTATGTATGTCATACCTGGTTGGCCCACGGGGATCCTAAGAAGCATTGTAGTAGCCAGAGCTCCTACAGTGCTGGCCGCGATCTTCCAGATCCTGTATGGTGCCGAGCTGAGCATCTTCCCCCCTGCTTTGAAAACATAGGGGGTAGCTCGAAAAGCACAACGGCCATTCAGAGAACGCCTAGTATTCCTATGAATGTATACAAGACGTTCTCTGATTGGACAAGCGATGGATCATAACATCATGATCCTCCCCGCTTGTCTAATCAGAGAATGTCTTGTATTGATTATTAAAAATGCTCGGTGTTCTCTAAATGGTCATTGTGCTGATTGAGCAACCCACCTGTGTTTTCAAAGCAGGGGGGAAGATGCTTAGCTTAGCACCATACAGGATCTGGAAAATCACGGCGAGCACTGTAGGAGCTCCGGGCCTCCGAGTACTCCAATGTTTTGCAGGATCCCCGTGGGCCAATCAGGTATGACATATACATACTTACACTGGGCCAAGAGGGTCCAATCTAAGTATGCAATCTACTGCATTTGCTGACCTCCCTCTGGCAATACTAGCTCTCTATCTGTCTTAGACTTCAATACTTTTATGCGGCCCTGTCATGAATTGATATCCTGTTCAAACCTATGACCTGTTAAAATAAGGGTGTATAACTTTACCTTTCCAGCTGAATGCTGCTCCTATCCTGAGAAATTATCCTCCGAACTCCGCTGGGAAACCATGACTTCCGGGTTTGTCGATCTACGATCTCAAAATTATTCCTCTTGCTGACCTTCATGTTGGAAAGTAGTGACACGGAGGTCAGTTGGAGGAACCAGAGTGAGTTGTGGAGGACCACAGAGAATACGCACAACACAACCGAAAAGTGTCAGTTTCCCAGCAGACTTTGATGGACTATTTCTCAGGATCAGAGTGGCGTTCAGGGTATCTATTTGGGCAGAATATAAATGCATGGCAGGGTCACTTTAAGACTCTGACCTGGAACAAGACAGAGTGGGTCAGAGTAAAACACCTGATCTGCAAATATATTCCAGGTCAGAGTCTCGGAGGTCCTAAAAGCAAAGGATAAGATTGACAGCCAGGAACCAGCGTTTTCAGGATAGTCACTACTAGCAGCCTCTGCAAGAAGAGTATTCCTTTATAGCAGAGGAAGCCAAACATCGGACCTCCAGCTGTGGTAAAACTACAAATCCCATGAGGCATTGCAAGATCCTGACAGCCACAGGTGTGACTCCCAGAGGCAGATACATGATGGGATTTCACTACAACAGAGTTTGACTACCCCTGCTTTATAGGAAAACTAGAATGGTTTGGTGTCAGTTTTATTTTGACTGTTTGCTTTTTTTATTGTTTTGTTTGTATTTTTAGTAAATACACATTTTGTTTACAAATATACATTTAATACATGACAAAGGATGGCCAGAGCACTATGGGTTAGCTAAAGAGACAGCCTAGCAGAATCTGCCTGTCTTGAGCCTTGCTTTGTCTGACTGAATACTTGGAGGGAGCGGTCCGATGAGGGGGGATTTATTGCTTTGATTCATTAACGTGTGTGTGTAATTTTCCAGCTTAATCTATTGATATCTGTAAACAGCGAGCTTCTCCCAACAATCCTGAAATAGCCAACAGCTTAATGGGTGTTGATGTTCAAAGTAAAGTGCATTGCAACACATGTCAAAACACACAGCAACATGCATTGATGCAGGTTGACGCATGTTTTATTGCATTTCCATTGCATTTAATAAAAAATATATCAGGAGAAAAAAAAATTCAAAAGCGTGACTGAGCCTTCAGATATTTTCACTGCAGCTCAACACATGGTAATGCATGAACCACAGCACAGTGCTGCGTTGTTTGTGCATTGTGGCGTGGTGAAATAGAAAGAAAAAGGTGCAGGTCCATTGATAAGTCCATTGCTATGTGTTAGCATTTTGAACGGGCTGCACTATCACAACACATGTTAACGTGCGACATAATGCTTCATGTGCGTGCATTAACACACTGCAAATACGAGAATCTGGATTTAGGTTGCTATTCCACTTTATAAGGGTCCATTCACACTTATGTGTTTTAACATGCAACATGTGCATTATAATGCATATTAACGCATGTGCAGAGGTTTGTCAGTCTTTTTAGTTGTTCTAGCTTACATATTGACATGCGATGACCAAAAATAAATCACGTCTGTTTTTTTTCACCTGATCTCGCCTGTTATACGGGCTTTGGATATCAAAAGCAGCACATGTCAAGGCATGCCAACGCAGCTGCCCAAAGCAATACAAAAAAGGCTTAAAAAACAAGACCCGTAGGTACAATGCCAGCCCAAAAGACAACACACATCAAAATCCTTCCCACCAGGAAAAAAACACATCAGCCACTCTCCAACAAATAAGTGTATCTCTAACTAGATGCCAGTTTTGATCCATTTTGTTTAATTTATTAAAACCGAGGTGATTTGTTTTTTCACCGCACGCCATCGCTGTTGCGCCGGGTCCTTCCGGGATTTTACATACAAAATATAATGAAAGTGACAGCGGACGCGGCTTTAGGAAAACGCAGTAACTAGCAACGTGTCACACCGGATAAATAATCCCAGGTAACTATTCTCCGCGTACAACCAATTGTGGATTTTGTTAGTGTCTGCGCCGCTTGATAAATGCAGTCTCCGCTCTTCCCCCAAGTGCCATACATCACCTGGCCGTCATGAGACGCCGACGCAGCTAAGGCGATATTAAGAAATGTTACACCTATTAAACACAGGGCATTGATGTTTTATGACGCATATTGATTTTATATAGTGGATTTCGCCCGGGAAGTCCTTCTTAAGATGCCACATGCTGATAATCTAGTTGGATATTTAGGTGTTAGTTTATCTTTTGTCTATGACTTTGGGCGATGGCAACTCTTTTCTTTAAAGCGCTGCTATGGACAATAATTAGGGTGTAACATGAAACATGGTCAGATTGCAGACTGAAGGTGCCCATACACTGCACGATTCTCGTACGAGAATCGCGGGAAATCCCGCGATCGTACGAGAATCGTCCAGTGTGAATGAAGACGTGCGACCGTTTCTACTATACGGTCTTTTGTCTAAGGAGCATGCTAGAAAACCAGCCGAAAATCGTAAGATTTTCGGCTGGTTTGAACGGTGCTCGGGAGAAAAATGCCGAACGGGCCGGTGTGCGCACGCGCACACTGCCCGTTCAGCATTGCAGTCATCGGAAGCCCGCCCCTCAGGGGGGCGGGCTTGTGATGATCGCAAGTACAATCTGCCTGTCCAAGATGGGCAGATCGTACGTTTTTTTTAAATTACTTTACAACCCTCGCAAGATCTTGGTCTTGTGTATGGCCACCTTTAGGCTCCTTTCACTTGGCCGTTCTGATCAGATCTGCCTGTTAGCTTTTCAGGTGGATACGATCAAAAGCAGGGCCGGTGCAAGGATTTTTTCCTACACAGTCGAAGCTGCATTTTCACCTGTGTACTTCTTTTAATTTTTATCATTTTTATTATTATGTTTTACTTATTTTTTTCAATTATTTTTTTTTCCACTTAACTTTATCGCTATCACACAGGAGCTAACAATCCCCTGTGTGATAGCATATGGAGGTGACAGGTTCTCTTTATTGACCCTGTCACCTCCAATACAGGAGTTCTAGCACAACACTGTGCCAGAACTCCTGACCGCTGCTCTGCTTGGCTCTTCATAGCGGCGCTGATCACACCTCTCTGCCCTCCCTCTCTTCTCTCCTCCTGGCTGCTCTGAAGCTGCAGCGACAGGGAGTAGAGAGAGAGGGAGCGCAGAGAGATGTGACCGCCGCAACCGTCTTAAAGGGGTGACATCCCAGTCGCATCTTTCTGCCCCCGCAGCGGTGCCCTCAGGCAGATGCTTGACTTGCCTATATGTTAGCGCCGGCCCTGATCAAAAGCTCAATGCAGACGGATGTAAATGGGCATGCATCCATTTACATGCAATTACTTCTAAGTCCTTCAAGGTACAAAAAACCCCCAAAAAAGGTTTGCTTCTTTTTCCATTTTTTTGGGACCTAAACAGGATAAGTCAGAGGTAAAAAAATTCAAATGGATGTGAGCCAATTTACACCTGTCTGCCCATAGACCTAACATTGGTCCACTAAGATTAAAGTTACATTGAATTCACAGAGAAGCTACAGATCCAGTGGCGTCGCAAGGGGGTGCGGGGGCTGCGGCCCACCCCCGGGTGTCACCATTGCAGGGATGACACCAAAATGACTGACAGCCATGGACCGAATGTCAGGAGAGAGGAGGTGGACCTGGCGGGATGAGGGTGAACGTCCCCTCCTCTCTCTGCCGGCGTCCATCACAAGATGGAGGAAAATACTGAACACTGAACAGACCCAATATCACGAAAGTAAGATCTGTTCCATTGCACTGATTCAGCAGGAGATCAGTTCCTGGATCCCTGTTGATCAGAATGGACACCACCCATATGAAAGGGGCCTTAGATTGACATGTAGTTTTAAATGGACTAAGTGACAAACCAATAAATCAACCTCCATGTTTTACAGAAGTTACAGTAAAAGTTAATTTTTTTCTTTTGGAATACAGGTTTACCTCACATGAATGTTACATGGTTTGTCCCAACCCCTATAGCTGCCAGCTTGGTCCAAATGTAAAGGTAGTGAAGATGATCAAAATAAAGACATGTAAAATAAAAGAAGGAATTTAAATATCAAATACTATTGTTAAAGGTATTGACCCCAAACCATTACCAGAATACAGGATGGTCTTTTCAATTGGCAGGAGCATAGCTGAGCTCCAGAGGGTCTCATGACTCGTCATGTTGTGGTAGGGCATAGCAAGACGGTAACATTATCAACCTGTATCCTGCAGCATCAACTTTCCAGGAGCCTGCACACAAGAATTCCCAGACATCACCTGCAGAGCATGTGTGAGGCAGTGTGAATGCGCGATACACTTTCTGCATCTGTAGGGTGCCAAGAATGAAGCCAGAACAACGTAACTCCAGCATACATGTGCAGGAGTTACATTATCACTGACCACCCTAAGCAGCAAAGAAAATGGCAATTACATAGTTAGTTAGTTTAAAAAAAGTCCATCAAGTTCAACCTATAGAGAAAAAAAAATAGAAACCATCCATAAACAAAACCCTATCCATACAGCTACCCACAGTAGGGCAATGGTGGCTCTGGAGTGACACCAGGTGTTGCAGAACTAACCTCACTGGAGAGGGGGGGGGGGGCAAACTAGGAGGTAAGTTTGCCATAAAATGCGCTGTTCATAATTCCACATTATGGAAAGTCCTCCAATCAGCCCCAGAACAGGTCGGCTCTAAAAATAGGAAATTATTGCACTTGACCAAATGGCACTGTCCCACCATTGTGATATTTTAGAATTGTGCACTTGCAACCTTGTAGTCACAGTTTGTTCAAGGTCCTTTTCTGTTCCAGCATGACTGTAACCCTGTAACCCCCATCATGGTTTGATGTATTTTGTGTGGAGGAACTTGTGTGGCCTACATAAAGCCCTGAGAACAAACCCTATACACTAGTCCAAAACGAGGGACAAATGAGCAG